ATTAGGTCAACAGTTGTGATGAGGAAACAAACAGCTGGGTTATTATTCCTACTAGTTCTTACCTCAACCAATGCAAATTGTTTTATTGTATTCAATGTGAACCAAACTGTAAGACCAATCGTCAGACGTCACTTGGAAGTCGTTGGATTAAACTTGGTAATGAATATTTATCTGAACATCCGTCCTCACGCGTCACTGCTGTCTATAGGTCTTGTTTACTAGCTGGTCTGGAACACTTTTAAAGCCACTCCTCTGTGCCCGAGTTTGGAGCACAGTTTGCATATGTGGCTGCATCCCTGTGGGAGTATCTCCTGCTCAACACATAGTAACACAACAGGTGCCCAGTATCCAGAGCTATACAGCAGTGCCCAATTTATGTGCATCGCTGACAAATGTACGCATGAAGGGTTTTTTTGTACCGTCTATATCTGTATGTTTCTCTAAATTGCTGTTAAAGCAAATACCCCTTGTTGTGTATGTGTGTGTTGAACATTTGCCCTGAAGCCATAGATGCTGCTCTTAAAGTCTGTCTATAATGGACACATTTGTCTAAAAGTTCTCTACAGTATGTTATCAACAAGTTTGCAAAGTAAAGAGTTGAGAGACTTTTCCCACTGAGTGTTGGCTCACGTGTGTATAGATTGTTGCTATAGTTTTGACCCCCAGGGAGGTCATTGGGTGGTGTACCTTTCAGTTTAGCGCTGTACTCCGTCTTGTCAGACTGACTCCTCCTCACCAGCGTCCCGAGGATGATGTCACCTTTGGCAGAGTCCTCGACCACAATAGTGTCCGTCTTTCTCCTCTCCAGGTAACGCAGGAACACAGGCCGGTTCCTCCTCTTTATCACTTTGTCCTTCTCTTTTTCCTTCTCCTTCTCACCCCCGCTGGCCTCAGTGGGTTCCATGGTGAGGCCTTCAGCTCCCTTTCAGAGCAGTCAAGGAGAAAAGAAGGGGAAGAGAGAGGGACAGGAAGAGGGAGAAAGAAACAGAGAGAGAGAGAAAGAGAGAGCGAGCGGGAGAGCCTGGGAAGTGCAACAGGTGCAGTGTTCACTGACTGCACTGACTGTCAGCTCTGCACAGGTAATATAGCTCCTCCCTGCCTACCTGTCATGAGAGCCATGTGGCCACACCTCTCCCCTGCTGTGCCAGGCTTCTTCCCTCTTCTGCTACACTACGAACCATCCAGACCTCTCAGGTCGTCTGGGACAGGTCTGCATATACTGTCCCCAGAGAAACATGGAGAAGCAGCATTTAGTTTTAATGCACCATATATCTGGAACAAACTCCCAGAAAACTGCATCTCAGGTGCAACTCCCACTTCCTTTAAACCAAGGCTGAAGACTATTCTGTTTGCTGTTGCCTTTTATTCAGTAAATGATTGATGATAAATGATTACAATGCATTGTTACTTATATTTTTGTCTTATTCTATATTAGCTTGTTTGTTTTTTCTATTCTCTTGGGTTTTTAATGAGTGTTTTTAAATCTACTTAAATGTCCTTTTATAATGTGATTTTTTATGTTAAGCTTTCTCAATTGCCTTGCTGCTGAAACGTCCCATATAAATACACTTGCCTTGCCCTCAGAGCATTACGTTCATTCAGGGAGAGGGTTTGAGGACAGAGCAATGACCTCCAGCTACAGTCTTATTTTACTAAAACTAAAACTAAATGTCCTCAAAATAAAATGCATGTGATACCTCACAGAGACACTCACAATATTAGACAATTAAGTATTTATGTGAATGGCCAGGGTGCTGTAAATCCTGTAAATCATACTTGCCATTACAGAGACACAATGAATAAGTGAATTCCAAATCAAGTCAGTTGAACATTTCATTTACACTCTACTCTACTTTAATTGTAGGAAAAAGAAAATGAAGTGAATCAAACAACCTCAACTTACACGGTCTATATTGCCGCAGCAGCTGCATTACACTAAACGTTTCACATCACTATTGAACTTCAGCAAAAGGGCAAAGATTGTTCAAGGACATGAAGCTGCTGCACTCGTATCTGTGACTAATTGCTGTGTCAGGTTTGGGGTTTTCAGTGGTTTTGAAACAACGGGGGTTGTTTGTCAAACTGTGATAATCACATTGTCATATTACTACACAGGGTATTTTCTAAGTCTTTGTTTCTCTATAAAAACCCAATACATTTACACTCATAAAATGTCATATCTGGTTAGACAGGTAATTTATCAACACACAATGATTTCTGGTCCACCAGAGGTCCTTGTAAGAACAATGAATGGATGCATTTCCTCCCCATTGAAACCACAGGTAATGAGCACACCCATTGTGTTTTCAGATCACTGTGCTGATAGCGCACCTGTTTAACTTCAATTAGACTAGTAAACACATATGGCTCTCAACTCATCAACATAAGACTGTATATCTCACACTGCATTGTCATCATCGTCAGTGTGTAAGAAAAACTCAAGAATTAAACAATTTAACGTTCATTAATTGTCTTCTCTGGTTAACAAGCACAGTTATATTGTTTTCCAACATAGCGAATGTCAATGTCAGCAGTATTATGTAACGAAGTGGACTTGGTAAACCATGCTGAACAATCACATAGTCTATATAAACATGAAAGTGAGTAAACAACGTTATATCCTGAGTGCTGTCAGCGTGGCCATATTCATTGTTTTGCCCGAAAGAAGCTCATGTGACATAGTGTCACTCAGGGAGTGGCTTTTCTTGACCTGCTCAAAGAGAGAAGTGTACTCTCTCTCACACATGAGGAAAAAAACATCAGGCTGTGAAATAAGTATTTAAACTTATACTGCTCACAGAATACAATTCTGCTTCTATGAACTACTTTGTATTAACAACTAATCTGATGATTATTTAACATATATTGACAATTCATTATTTCCCCCAGAGAATGATTGATTCTTGCTTCTCAATTGACTGAAATCAGGTGCCGATTAATTTCATGTTAATCAACTAATCAATTAGTTCAACGTGGTGGTTTTCCAAATCTTTTCCATTGTACTTCAAATTACAAACTTTACAACACAGTCCGAATAATGCATGTAGTATGAAATATAGTCAAACAGAGATAAATTGTCCTTATTGTAAGCTGCTGTTTCAGAATGATTATGACCACACCAACAGTATATGTTTTCAGCCAACAAACAAACATGCTCAAAGAAACAAAAGCGAACAGGACCTGTGTTTGTTTGGTGAGACAAAATAACAAAGAGATCCTTATTTTGTCAGCAGCAGCGTGGTGGAGTATAGCTGTAAGAGTGAGCCAGGGTGAGTGAATGGGGAAAGGGGAAATAAAAACACACTCATGCCTGAAACTGTGTCTTTTACAGCCACAGACTTTTAGTGCTGGGCACTTGGGCGCCATCGCTGGAAGGGTCACGGTTGAGTGCTTTGCTTACGGACACAGGAATTGAAGGAAGGAACGCTCTTCTCATTTGGCTCGCCATCCAGATTTTCCAAATCAGTACAGAGATTGTAAACTGATCAAATACATTTTGGAATTAAACACATTGCATTCACAAAAGAAAAACAAAAATGATACATCTGTCCTGTTAACTGAAACACATAAATTGAAACACATTGAATGAATCGGGTTTTGTGCTCAATCAAAACTGTTTGGCAAAAGCATCAAAAGCAAGCAACTTTTTATGGCCGCCATCAAGGTTGCTGGGTGTTTGTTTAGGACACAATGGATACATATGGACTTTGATCTCATGATGTATTGTGCAGATAACCACTAAATCAATTAACTTCAAGTCATAAAAACAAAAGCAGGGGGACATTACAGCAAAAGCAACAGTGACCTTTATGGTTGTTCACACTACACTTAAGTTATTGAGCATGGAGAAATAGGCTACGATGCAAAAAAACAAACAATGCACAGATGTGCATTTACCTAATGCTAGTGACAAAAGGTTCTTGTACCGGCTCTTCTTCTATTGGAAGTAACTATAGTGCCTTCATAGAGCATGTTTTCATGTCTGTAAGCTGTTTGATGGAAATATAATAGAAAAGAAAGGGAAAAAAATATTCAACAAGGATTAAAGGTGCACACCGACTAAATTAAGAATTCCTATATGTTATTTCCATGGCTTAGGAAAGTTCATTCAATATTTGTGAACATGATCTTCTCTTTCTCAAACCCGGAAACCAAAGAAGTAAATCTCAAACCTGTGAGGTCATCAAGTATACAGTCTGGAGCTGCTCCTTAGACAATGAATAGGAGACCAACGACCCGTCTCTACAAGCTCCGCAAACCATTTCTGCGGCTGCGAGCAAGCTGTTCCGCAGAAGTATAAATTAGGCATTAGTGTCATCTTTGGCTGCGTTTGTAAATCAAATCTGACGCTCAAACAAATTAACGAACGGGTAAATTAAAATGGATGAAAGACAAACTTTCCAATCAATACGTATAAAGCAAAAATAAAGCCTCTTGTGCAAGAGTTTGTCACCAGTGAGGATGACTATGATTAGGATGAGACATGAGACTGTACCAATGAATAATATACGGAGCTCCCACAAGTAGCCAAACACATTCACTTGCTAATATGATGTTGAATAATAATTATTGTATATTTTGGACTGTTCGTCTACCATAGAAATAACATGTATGCATTATTAAAATGGCCGTAGTTCCCTTGTAATGTCCCTCTCCCTCCATGCAAGCCATGTTTTAGGAATTAAATACTACTTTTTTCTTAAATAGGGCAGATACAAATATGTTCCCATATGTTGGACAAAATATTAGTTTGCTGGATTACAAGCATGCAATAGAAACATTGTGAAGTATAAAAATAATTGACTTCCGGCCGCAATAATTTATTATCAGAGTAAAGAGGCAACAGTAACTAACCAGCACATATGTGATCTTGACACATACCGTACTGTTATTACAATCTACAAATGATATACCATTATGTTCAGCCTGGACTGCAAAGTGAATGCTTTTATTTTGAAAGCATCTCTCCGGAAGCTTCAGTTTCACTCTGGCGGACTTGACACTACTGGACGTGGCGGAGGCCGAAAACAGGAAACAGGAACCGAAGAGGAAGAAGAAATGAGACCGCTACTGCTGCGCTGTCCGCTCGGCTGCTTGGCCACAGTTTTCGGCTCATTTTCCGCTTCTCGAAACAAACTCGTCACACAAGCAGCAGCGCTTCCTCATCTGTTTTATTTCAGAAACACGATGCACTATCAAACGGAGGAGAGAGGACGCCCCAATTCACCCGACTACCGGATTTATTTTAGTAAGTTCTTCATCGCCACCATGGGAGGAACCTGTGTGTCCTCTGCGTTTCATAGTATATAACGGTTTAGCACCGGGGTCCTGTGTCGGACAGGTAACCACTGGTCGACCTCCAGGTAAAGGTAAACATGTGACCTTAGAGTTGTAAGCACGGTGTTTTCTAGGCATGTGGCGCGCTTACTACAGAGCTTTTAGTGTGAAAACACCTCACGCGTTACAGTTTCCTGCAGGATGGCTACGTATGACGCAACTTCCGGGTTGGGTGATCACGTGTATAGCGTCCACACACAAACAAAACCTTTTGATGAACTGGTATTTTCTCATCGACAGTGAAATTTGTATCAGATGAAGTTACACTAATTTAACTCGCATTAAAGACCAATAGTATGCAGCACAATATTAACCTAACAAAATATGACATTGTTCGGTTTCCAATATGGGTAATGTGACTATATTTTGGGAATGACTGCAGTTGTTTTAATTTAAACAAGATATAGGATTAGTAGCATTAGCAGCAGTGTAAATGATGTCCAGTATAACCAGTAAAACAACAGTAAGGATGCAAGGTGTCACTGACAGCACAAAATTATATATTTAACTCGCCATGAATTGGATCTTAACTCAAGGTCTACTTACCAGTAATTACATTTGACATATTGTTATCCATTTGACGTACATTTTATGTACAATACAGTCTTCTGGGATTTCTGTTTCTATGTATGGAGGTTTTATTTGTTAACATTTTTTGTTTGTTTTTTTCCATAGAAACCTCTGAAGGAAAATACATTTCACCATTCCATGACATCTCACTTATAGCGGAGACGGAACAGGTAACTCTTTGATAGCAGAAGTTTTAGTTTCTACTTATTAAACGGTATAAAGATAATATTCATATCTTTTTTTTCTTTTAACAGGACAATGATGTGCCAACTAAAAAGCCCAAGAAGAATGAGAGTGAGGTACGGTGACATTCAGTTGTAGCACTTGAAAAAGTAGTGTTCAGCATACACTGCATAAAGCTTGCCTTTGTGCTTCCAGGTGCTATTTAACATGGTCGTGGAGGTGCCTCGATGGTCAAATGCTAAAATGGAGGTAACGAGGCTATAGATACAATAGTACCTCACCTTTTTGTATAATTGATTTGATTATTGCACTTCTACTACTACTGCTTTAAAAAGGCTGAGATTGATATGTTTAAGTAAGAACCGGTGTGTCAACGTTTATTCAATGATAGTCCATTATATATTTTCAACAAAGTTAGCGTAGCAGGAGCCTGCAGCTATTTTATTTATTATTTGATGTCTAAATTGACGATACCTGACTTACTGTCACCAAGAAATAGCTTGACTAAAAAGTCCAAACTGAGCATCCAGTTACGAGCCTGTTCCTGAGTTAGCACACACTCACACATACAAACACACACCTTCATATATGCCTCAATTTCCAGATTGCAACTAAGGAACCGCTGAACCCGATAAAACAAGATGTAAAGAAAGGAAAGCTCCGGTATGTTGCCAACATATTTCCCCATAAAGGCTACATTTGGAATTATGGGGCGCTCCCACAGGTGAGGAAATGCACCGTATGAAATAAGCTATTCAGACTTGTTTTTTAGTCAGTGACTGATGCTGCAATTTAAAGATTATTATTTATTTAGTTTTTATGGAAAAACTGAATGTAGTCCACACTCTTTATTTCTATTTATTTATTTTGCATTTATTTATCAAGTCAGGAAGTTAGTTGAAATGTTTTCTTACATGTTTCTGAACTGTCCCTTGGAAAAGACATGGGAGGACCCAAACCACACAGACAAAGACACAAAGTGTTGTGGTGACAACGATCCCATTGACGTCTGTGAGATCGGCACCCAGGTAAGACTGTTCTAGGTGTGTGTGTGTGTAGATGTCATTCTTTGTTTTTACTCACTTTATATAGACTTTTCAAGATTTCTTAATTGTGTGATTGATTCCTTTGACTGTTTATTTGTAATTTGCTGGTCTGTTCTTCAGGTGTGCTTTCCAGGTCAGGTGATCCAAGTGAAAGTGCTTGGCATCTTGGCCATGATCGATGAGGGGGAAATGGACTGGAAGGTCATCGCTATCAATGCTCAGGACCCAGATGCCAAAAACCTGAATAGTGCGTGCTTTTCACCGATCATAGATAGTAGATAGTAACCGTCAACATCTAAAAACTGCCTTACACTGACCCATCCTCTATCCTGAAGACATTTAGTTCAGGAAACCTCGTAAATGAGTGAAATTGGGATTTTATCTAAAATGTGCTAAATAAGGCAAATAAGTACAAATGGCTTACATCAAAGGAACAGTGTGTAGCATTTTGGGGGATCTTCTTAGCAGAAATGGAATACAATACATTCTGTTTTCATTAGTGTATAATCACCTGAAACTAAGAGTTGTGTTTTTTGTTAGCCCTTCATATCTACATGGGGAGTGGGTCGTCTTCACCGCCATGTTTCCACAGTAGCCCAGAACAGACAAACCCAACACTGGCTCTAGAAAGGGCCTTTCACGCTTTTACGTTACCTGGAGGCCACCGTACTTCTCTGACACGCTTGTGAAACTGCTGTAACGTGAGCTGCAGGATGAAAACAAACGTGGAATGCAATCTGCAACCACACCGCTAGATGCCAGCAAATCCTACACACGGTCACTTTTAGGATACAAGTGTCACTGGAGGTGAAGACGAGCTGCCAAATCAATCTCCAGGATTTGTCAGATGTGCCCTCGACCACAAACTATAAATACGGTATTAATGTACCTGCACTGCCCGGTTGAGATTCAAGTGATCGAATTTGAAAATATAAAATAAAAGAAACATTTGCAGGTTCAATATGAAAATCCGGTCAGCAGCTCAGGCAGTAACTTCAGACTTTAAAACACTAACCTAGAACATACCCTGTGGAGTTTTTACTGTCAACGCAGCTTTGTTTACAGTCAACGTTTCTTATAAAACATTGTGTGTATCCTGAAGGCCGAAAAATTGTTGATGCCTTTTTTTTTTTTTACTATTTACTCCTTACAGCATTTTGCAAAGCCGTTTCTGAATATCTTTAAGGCTGCATTGTTTACAATACAACTGCAACCTTCTCCCAATGTTGTTTTAATGGGGCATTGCTACTTTTAAATATTTTTCAAACACTTACTATGCTACATAAAGATGTACATATTCATCATACTCTTATTTTTGCATTAAGATATATTCCAAATACCAAGTGTGAATGGAGCAGAGTCATACCAGTCATATTATTCATACTAAGACGATTATAGTGCAGATTGGTCCTCTGTTCTTACTCCGCTGTGTTTATGTTCTCCTCAGGCATAGAAGATGTCTGTAAGAGCCGGCCTGGTCATTTAGAGGCCACTGTCGACTGGTTTAGGAAATACAAGGTGCCCGATGGAAAGCCTGAGAACCAATTTGGGTTCAATGGAGAATTCAAAGACAAGGTACTGAGACTTTTGTAACACCAAACACATTACAAAGATAAGACACGACAGTTTGTTTACTCGGGGTCGGAGTCTATCGGGGTTTCCCGGTGGCTAAAACTGAATGGATTAGTTTTAAAGAAATCAAATGATGTGTTTTTCTCTGATGCCCTCTTAATAGGACTTTGCAGTGGAGATCATTAAGTCCACCCATGAGCACTGGAGGGCACTAGTGCAGAAGCAGACAAATAGCGGAGGGATTGAATGGTAAGTTGGTGGAGGGAAAACTCCTGCAGTGTCCTTCTGATGTACATAAGTGCAATGAACACTATTGGCTTTTTTGATCAGCAAAAATATCTCCTGCTGCGAGAGCCCTTTCAAATGCAGCGACGACGAGGCCAGAGATGTGGTGGAATCGGTGAGAACTTCCATATGTTGCTGTTTTTACAATGATGATGATAGTAAACACAATAATAGCAAGTAGAACTGTGTTCGGGTTTGGTTTGGTAATTGTCCTTTTTAACATGTGCCACCCCAGGCTCCTGCATTCGACAGCACACATCCTGTGTCTCCAAATGGTACGTAAATATTGACTAACCTGCACTACATTTTGTTTATTTGAGGTATTATGTGTTTCAATACTTATATTTTCATGTAATTCTAAATATTCTCTCGCACAGTGGACAAGTGGCATTTTGTCTGAAGCCCTAAAGACAACATGGAGCCAACAAAACCTTTTGAAGCAGCTGCATCCTTTGAATGCAGCTGGATTTATTGTTGGTAAGGACTCGTTCTCAGCTGTATAAAGTGCCATCTAAGTTTATTATGCAGTCAAATGTGTAGACATCAGATTGTTTTATTATAATTTTGAGGTTAATTGCAAAATAATTGATCTCCTTTCTATTAAATTGTAAATTCTAATGTATAAGCACTGCAGTATCTTTGGGTCAAATACCCAGGTCCATCCTTGTATAAGACTGAAAGTGATGCCAATATGCTCCAATTTGCCTTTTAAGCCACAAACACAACGCCATTTGTATGTAACAATTTCTTTCTGTTTGGGTAAATTAAAAAAATGTATGGTGTGAACATGGCATTACCTCTTTCCACATTTGTCCGTAATTACTCATTTCAAAACTTTAACACGTGGACAATAATGCTCAAGGATTTAGATACTAGTATTAACTTGGAGTAACAAATCAAATTGCTTTAAATAAATATAAATTTTATTAAAAAAACACCCACATCTCAGCATTATCAGGAATGATATAATAAACAGCTTTCAAATAAACTGCATCCATTACATTACAATACTTACAGTATTAATACCCATCCCTAATTCCATTTTTTGTAGCATACCAAACTTCAGGAGAACAAGGGAAGCCTTAAAAAAGAAAATGACAGGCAAAAAGTTGCACTTTTTTTTACCCCTTAGTGTCTAACTGCAAAAAGACCAAGTGTGTATCAACTTCCAGCTTAACCTGTGAGCCGAGCACATATAGCACACTAGTTCAGCCCAGGAAGTCATTCAAGTAATGTTGACTCTACTCAGAAACACTCTGAAGCAAGTATGGCTATGCTTTTAACCCGCTATATCTTAGACACCTTGGCTTTCTCAACCACAACCTGCTACTGTAGCTGGGTCCTGTACAACAAAATTTGACATTTTCTTATGTCGAATTATTTTACAAAGTTGGAACAGTTAAAAAAAAAAAAAACTAGACCGTCTAATGTCTGCGCGAACAGGATGCTATCACTGTAAACATTGCTGTGACAGTGAGCATACATTTACAGACTTCCTGGATAATCTAACCATGATCATTCTGCTAACCTGAAAGAATATTTAAAGATATGAGTATCGCTGATCGGGTAGCTGTGGGTCAATTTGACAGAACAAGAAGAACCTACATCAACATCAAAGAATGAGTTGTATTCCTGCAATGCAGGTTCCTGGTATGTACAATGTGACATAATTTATTATTTTTTTTAAACACATTTACAATCTATTTAAATAAAACGTTTTGTAATTCTTTATTACATTTTTTTTTTCCTGAAAAAGAAATGAAGTGCTTTCAGAAAATGCATCTGTTGAAGAGTGGGGTAAGTTGTTACTATAACATGACATTCCACTATATATCGCGTTAATTAAATCAAATAGACAGGGAAGAAAAATCATTATACAATTGCTTAGTGGTTATAAATAAATTTAACTATACACAGGCACAGAGATGTGCAACTACGTTAATCACTCCCCTGGTCTTGTCTCATAGCTAAAGCAAATACATTGCTTTTTACTTAGTCAATATCATACTTTCCCTTTAGTCAACTCAGTGCATATATGTTCAAATTACTTTTAAAAGATTACTTTAAAATATAAGTAAAAAATTGCAGGAAAGTACTTTTATCCTCACAAAATATTTTTTCTCTTTGTGAAGTCGACAAGAATCAGATTCAGGATGCAATGGCAAGTACCTGAATGAAAAAACTACCGGATGAATACAGGCAATGAACACAGAATTAGTTGAAAATGTCCCTGATTTTACAGTAACATCAAAGATTTAAGTTCAAGTAATACTTTCTAGCAGATTGACAAGAAAGTAAGAAATGAACTGTTATGCCTTTTGGTGGCCTGAAGTTGAACTGTTATTTTGAAAGTAATATACAAAGGAAGAAAGAAAAATATGTTATTATTCTATTGCCAAACTAGATTTGAGGTATATGACGGGTTTGAACTGTACATTATTTAAAAGCCTTCCTGCTGTCCAAAGAGTCTCACATTGTATGTTTCACACACGTATGTAGGTTGGATAGCACCTTATGATCAGTTAAACCCAAAGAAATACAATGAAATAGGCCGTTAGCATTCTTTACAACACAAAATCTCTAACAGTAATTCCAAAAAGGGAAATTAATTTACTGTACAAATCTCACCTGTTTATCTTACAGTTAGATTACAATAGTTAAAGACCCCACATCAAGCCAGCTGCCCTCTGAAACAGACACTGGGCTTACCCTGTTTCATGTTCCTCAGTGTATAAAAAAACACATTTCCTAAGCACCACAGACACACAACTACATGTAATATTCACAGTCCAGGTTTGTTCAATGAACCTACGGTGAGGAACATTAAAAACAGTCGTTGACAACAAAGTAAACCTGGAAAAAACTGAAATAGCACAAACATACTGTTTTTTCCCCTCAAAATGTTAGAAATGCACCATGAGAATGGCTCAATTTACAGTATAAATGACATAGGTAAGCTAAAGAAGCACCAACACAAAGATAGTTCAAAAACATCTTTTAGCATCAACTTGAAACGGTTTCATGGATTGCTCACACTGTTTATAAATTCATCAATTTAATTTCAGTGATGCTTAGAAATTAATTACTCTCAATGTAGTAAGTATAACCCGATTTTCTGATTTAAAGGTATCACCAAAACATTTAACTTGCATTATCAAAAAGTGCCCTAAGAACCACTGACTTGCCAAAAACCATTATGATGCTGATCATTTGATCGTGGGATGATATTTCCGGAGTCCTGTTCATTGGACGTCACTCGTAGAGTGAGTTATGGTCCTAGAGTGAAGGCATTTGAATTTAAATAAATGGTTGTGACCATACACTTTAGCACCGTGAATGTTGTCATTGACAAAGTCAGTGTTTTATGCCAAGAGTACAATTTTGTAAGAAAAATAAAGCCACAAAAAAATGAAAATTTGTTTCCATTAAAAATAGGTCCTTGTGTTTCAGACTGAAAGCACCAGAGATGTTGAGTGTGTATCTTGCAAAAGTTGTCGAACAAAAATAAATACATCCTCAGTAGGGTCAACAGGTAAAGCTTGATTGTTAAAGAGGTGAAAGACCTCATGTGAAAGGTCATTTATATCTCATCTGATCACAGGTTCCTTTTTCTACGTTGTTGCTAACCGTACAGATAGGAAGGAGTGTTTAGAAGAGGCCAGTGGTGCTTGTGGTCTTTGTCATAAATAAAGCACCTTAAATTTTCTTCTTCACGAGTGCTTCTTACACAAACTGACTGTAAGGCCCTGTGACCTTGGTGAAGGCGTACGGAGATGTATTGACATAAGTGTTTGTCGTGCACGACAAGGACCCCTCCATTAGTGCCTGGATAAAGCGCTTGTAAGGAGGCTCCCCGGTGGATTCTGACTCTGGATGCTCACGCTTCGCCCCCTTCTTGCCTTTGCTAGGTGTCCCCTCGCCGCCATTCCTCTCTGCTTCTTCCTCCTTCTCCCGAGCCTTCTCTGCCATCTTGGCTTCCCACAGTGCCAAACCATGCTTGGCCTCATTCATGTTTTTGTGCTGGTAGAAGACCAAGGAGATGCGCGTTGGGTGGGTGCGGTCTGGGTTTTTAACGGGTGTCGTGGCGTGGAGCTCCCGCTTTGCACACTCAATGAGGACTGAGCCGTGGCTTGGTGCCACTGCCACACCACCAATGTCGGGGTCCAAGAAGTTGTGCTCGTTGTCGGACCACACCTCAGGCTTTTGTGGGGTTGTGGGTGTCGGCGGTGTTCCAGGCTCCTGCTTAATACCAGAGCCCATGAGGCTCCCATTAGGCAGACCTAAACCTGACTCAGGGGTAAAACACCCACCGCCTAACTGAGCAGAAAGCATTTGTGGGTGAGGCATGCCCATCTCGGTCTTGATTTGCATATGGAAAGGATCTTGGCCCGGGGCGAAGATTTGAGGGCTCCGAGATAGGTAAGGATTTGGGTATCCTCCAAACTGATTGCCTTTGCTCACAGCAGCTGTATAGTCTAGACCTTCATGAGCTGAGGGTGCTCTTGAAAGGGGGTCCATAAACTGGGGGTCTGAGGATCCATTGGGACCATAAGGGGAGTAAGGTCTCATGGGGTGAACTGGCCTCATGTTGCAGGCATTGTAACCATTCAACTGTAAACCTGGCTCAGCGTACCTCGGCGGATAATTGACCTCATAACGCTGATGTACACCGTACTGCTGCTCTGAGTAAAGTGCTGGCCGCTGTTGTCGATACATATCCAGGTGCTTTGGGTTTGAAGCATAGTATGGGTGACAATTGTCAAGGGGCATTCCTCCGTTACATTGATAACCTGGATATGGACGATTTGATCCATTAATGTAAGAGTTTGGTACGTGGAGCGGGGAGGGGTAAGGGCTGGTTGGTGTTGGCGGCTGAGGGGGATACATGGTGCCTGGCCTGGAAGTGCTTGGAAAAGACCCCGGGTGGTTGGGGAACCTGGGGTAGCTGGCTACATTTGTTGAGCCAGGATAAGGGGGAAGGATGCTCTGGTGCTGTTGTTGCTGTAGTTGCTGATGATGGGGCCCCAGAGGGTGTGTTGGCTGACCTGACTGTAGGATTGCTCCCATAGCACCTTGAATAGGTCCTAGAAAACAAAATCCCCAAAAGATAAAGGCCTAAGCATAAAAATTACACAAATCTCTAATCCTGTGGCAGTTTCTGTCAATTCATTGCTTATTGTTTTTCAGAGTTAATTTAGTATGTTGACAGCATGTCCGTACTAAGAAATAACATATTTAAGATACAATTCATGAAATGTGTCAGAATAAATGTTACCTCACCTGCCATAGGACTGCTCTGAGCGGTGTTCTCATAAGTGCCAGCTTTCGCCTTGGCCAGGAGGGCCTTCTCTGCCTTTTCATTGTCCAGCATGGCCATCCTGTTGGCAGCTGCCTTCTTAGCGTCCAGCTTCTTTTGCCGGCAAGACTTGGCGGGCTCTGCAAGCATGCGCACCTGGCGGCGAAAGGCACTGAGGACTTGGATGGCGCCTGACTTGACTTTCTCCTGCTGACCCTCCTCACTGCCAAATTCATCAGTGTTTGAAGCCTTGTAAAGCGGCAGTACATGGAGCTGTTCATCCTCTGGTATCTTTCCAATGTCTCGGTTATCCTCACTTGTTAATGTACACACCTGGAAATGCGGGTTGATGTCACAGACATTAATAATAAATCTACTTTTGCAATTCACATATCCATTTTAAAGCCATGCCTCGATGGGACATTAATGCATAGCTCGATGTGCAGTTTGCCGTTTCTCTACCGATTCCATTCTCAGAGAACTACAACATACTTAGAAAGATAAACTGTACGTTTCCCTGGTTCTGCTTACCACAGTGCTGCCGCCCTGCATGTTGTGGAGGTCTCTGTGGGCATGGGCACAGAAGTCAAGACAAGCAGTGACCCCAGAGAAGGGACAGCCATCCTTGAGCCCCAGACGACAATCTGGTGCCCTGTGTTCATGTTCCACCTGTGTCCAGGAACAACAGGAGGTCAGTTTGAATAAGATATTAAGAGTTTCTGGTCACTAAACAATATAAATGGGAAATCTTAACAAAACGACTTCATCATGTAGATACTTTGAGAAATACCCATGCACACAGTTTACTATTGTTGTTGAGGAATTTCTGTGTGCGGGTTGCATCACTCACATGTTTACATGTGACTTAAAACCATGCTTGGTTTAGATTTGATCTGAAATTCAATTATACCTTTGAAAAACAGGACACCTTTATTATATAGTTTGCTTAACAATAAATTATTAAGTCAAACAATGTCTAAATATACACACCTGGTTTGCATAAGCTTCAGGTGCCAACGTTTTATACAAGGGACCCAATAATGTTGCTAGATTTTGAAAGTTGTGCTCCAGTTTCTCTTCCTGAAAGACAGAAATTGGCAGTATTAAGTGACGTAATTAGCTTATAATATTAACGGAACCATGCTGCACATACTTCTTTCATATCATCTCCTAGTAGCTTGAATTTTCTTGGGATTTTGCTGCGGGCAAACTTGCAACCATTGTAGTACATGCTCCAAGAGCAGCCAAAGGAGAAAGATGCCCCACAGGCATCAGGATTCAACCCCTGGCATACACAGGTCCTCCTGAACAGGGAGGACAAAACAATTGGATGTATCATTTTTAATTCAGTGTTAACCAACATGTATTGCTGAGGAACAAATTGGCAACTGGTATTTTTATAATTGATGCAAAAACACACCTATTATACAAAAGCAATAACTACATTTTCCTTGTATGCATACAAAATAATAACTTCTGTGTTTGGTAATAAAACTACTGTAGGCCACATGGCCAGACTGGAGTTCTGTAGCTCCGTCACTTACTCTTCATTGATAGCACATCGTCTCTGGGTGAGGGCTCCATGCTTTGTTAGAGTCTCACTTAGCTCGAGGTAGAGGCGGTCAGCTACACTGGGCAGGACGCCCTCCCAGACCAGGATTACTACAATGATGCAGGCTGTCTCGCATTTGTGACCAGTGCGTTCCCGCACCAACACCAGTAGCTTTTCTTCTACACCTGACCGACGAATCACCTGAATGAAAGACGGGAATAGGCATTGGTGGAAATGCAGATATTTGAGTACCAGGGCAGCTGGGATGCCTGCTTCTCAAATTAAATATACAAAAATGGTTCTTACCCATTTGGCAATAGGGCACCCTTGTGTACTTTTTCCTTCCTTGCCGGTGTATACTACTTTCTCAATCCTGATGGCGCGACCAGTTAGACCAGACCTTAAAAGCAGAATAGAGGCATGTAAGTAAACACAAGTAATGTAGTGCACAGTGGTTACAAAACACACTCATTTTGCCAGTCAACAAGTCAAATATGTGGTAACCTTTTCTCCATCCCCTCCCGAATACCGGCAACACTCGGCGCAGACCCCAAGTGAGTGTAGTATGGGCCTTCATCCTTCTCACTGATTTGTTCTAAATATCATGAAAGGACATGCATTAATATTTACACACCAACTTATTAATCATCTTTCAAAATCAACATCATGAGACTCACCAACACAGTGACAGGATGCAATGTCATATTGTGTTTTCATGGGGGTGTCCAGTAGGTTCTTTATCGGGGTATCCAATAGCTTCATAGGAGAGTCCATGAAGCTTTGTAGGAGGTGTTCCTTCTTAGGGGTGGAATCAGGTGGTCTCTTTAGAGCTGCAGCGGCTGGGGCAGCTGCTGCTGATTCAACTCCACTCAAGTCAGTGTTGGTTGACAGGATTGTGACAGGCCCAGAATATTCCACCTTGACTTTATTTGCTGGATTGACGATAAGGGATTTCTTCTCAAACACAGGTGAAAGCTGGTACTGCCTCAGGCTTTGTTCCATGAAGGCCAAGATGTTTCCCGACCTCTTGCTTTGCTCACACAGGGATGGTTGATTCTCCTGCTTGATTTGCACACCACCAATTCCCACCTCTCGCATCTGTAACTGCTGCCCCTGCTGCTGTGAACATGGCAACTCAAATCTGGGGTCGTTTTCCATTTTCACAGCTCTCAGGCCATGTGTGGGGTCACTAGTGCTCTGAAGGGGATGAGGAGGGACCTGGCGCTCCTGCCTTTGTAGCAGGTGCATACGCAGGGCTGCATGCCTCTGAAAGTCTCCATGGGGACCCGCAGGTGCCAGAGGTAGTCGAGGTCCCCTTTGGAACTGAGGGCATGATATCTTCAGCTGCTGTTCAGCTTTAGGATACATCGGTTGGTTCAACACGCCTCCTTGTAAGTGAGGTTGTGACTGCGTTGAGGTCTGGGAGAAGTCTGCATGGTTGTGCTGGTGGCAGTGGTTGTTAGGCCGCTGTGGTTGAAATTGCTTGAGGTTACTGCTGCCTGAGTCAGGTGGAAACTGCCTTTGATGTTGTTGAAGCTGTTGCATGTCCGTTGTGTTATTGTAACTGAATGTTGCATGGTCGCTGTGCTGGATTTGTTGGTTGTTGGATTGAGCAGAATTGTTTCTAAGAGCCTGGTTGGGTTGAAGCTGCTGCTGACCTGGCTGAGGCTGACTGCGAGGTCTGTAATCGGGTGACTTGAGTTGCTGCCCTTCAAATTGTGGTGGGTGGGACAGGGGACGTTGAAGATGACAGTGCTGTGGTTGTTGCTGTGTTGGTAAAAACCCAGGTGACAGTATATCCTGCAGGTCAGGGTCTTCACTTAAATGCTCTGACTGCATCTGGGTGTGATAGCGGCTGTCTACCTGCTGATCTTGGTGGAAATTACGCTGCTCGGGCATTTTCTGGTGTAGAGGCTGCTGCATTTGAGGTGCTTTTGAATTTGATTCCTGCCACTCAGGGGCAGTGTTGTGCTGGGCTGTAGCACAGTGTGTTTGGGCCGGGAGACGGTCCCGCTGTTGCTGCTGGAAGCTGTTAGACCCCTGGCTGCTATCTGTGAAACCTGCCTGTGTCTGGAATCTTTGCCCGGTATTTGGCTCCAACATCTGGCAGTGAACCTGGGAGTTAGCAGTCTGCTGCTGGGAATGTGGAGAGTTTAGCTCTACCCAGCCTCTCTGGTGGGGAGTCGAACATGATAAGTTGGCTCTCTGCTGAGGCGTGTTCTCCATCCCGTTTTCTAACGCAGCATGACTTGGCTGCTGGAGACTGGGGCCCATGGGTCCCGTACTGTCAGCGCCACGTGAGTTCCCGGCATTGTGTTTAAAGGTCTGGGGTTGAATCACATACTGGTGGCCCCTGTCAGTGCCAATGCGCTGATGCTGACCAGACCTAGGTTCTTCACTTTGCCCCATCTTCTGTAACCCAGAGTTAGGAAAGGATGCATATCCACCTGTCTCTGCTGCCTGTACAGGGGCGTCGTGCTCCAGAAAAGAGTTCTGGTTAAACTCTTGGTTGACCTTCTCATATATCCCTTGGGGATTTGTGTCATCTGGATAGCACCGTGGGCCATTTTGATGTTGTTGTGAGCTATTGGCAGTGCTTGTTGGTGGGATCATGCCAGGGAGCTGACCTAGAGACAGCTCCTGACCAGAGTAAGATGGTGGCCTCTGCTGATGATGATGTTGTTGTTGCTGCTGCTGGTGGTCTGCTTCAAAGTTGTTGGAGTATCCATTCACTACATAGTTGACAGAGTTATAACTGTTGCCTCCTTCAACATTGCCCGATGCCCCAGGCTGCTGTTGCTGTAAGTCAGGCATCTGAGCTGAATTGGGCATTCCTGAGGTTAAAGATGGGGGTTGAGCACCTTCACTTGGCAGCTTATTTGCCAGTGAACCATTGACCACATCAAGATGTGGCCCAGATGTTTGTGGTGCGATTGACACTTGCTCAGGATAATACTGAGACAGGGTTTTCTCTAAAAGATCACCTGGAGTGCTTTCTATTGTTGAGGGGGGTGATAAAGCACCATTTGAAACATGTTTATTCCTCGGTAGACAGAAAAAATCTCCATTAGGAAAATCACAGTTCCTCTTGTCTAACTTAAGCTCTGTCTGTGGGGTATTGCTTTCACACTCAGTTGCTTTTGTCAGATCAGGAAAGCTATCCACCAAACTAGAGCTCATGTTGTCATTTCTTTTAATCTCAGATTCTACTTTAAGTTTCTTGGGCGGGTGGGTGAGTAAGGACTGCTCAGTGAGTGCATGCTTCAACTCTCCATTCATAAGTTCTCCATTCATCATGTAGGATCCTTGATTCTCCCTGTGCCTCTTCATGGGGTTAGCACCTGCGCTGGCCTTATAATGGTTCCAGCTTGTATCCCCAGGGCTCTGCAGAGAATCTCCCTCTGAAGACTGGCCTCCATTCTGAAGTTTGTGAGAGATGTTGCGAGATGTGCCAGATTTTGCTAATATCAGATTTTCTTCCGCCTCATGTCTGGCTTGTTCTGTTTCCATCTGGCCTGCTCAGGGTCCATCCACAGGGCTGCCCTCTGTCCGTCCTGCAGGGCACATAAAGAGAGAAATATTTGGTTACATCATTATTCAAGCAGGGTTATGTTTTCAAATACAATATGTCTTATGTAAAACAAACACATGATTTAATTTTAACCTATGTGTAGGAACTTTACTCGGTCAAATTGACTCTTCTGACAAACATCTAACTTCAGCCTGACTGTGGCCTTAGTGAGGGGAAGGTCAGTTGAGTTATGTGTTTACACTTGGCACTAAATTGGTATCAGCTTGCAACACGATCCTGTCATAGAATTAGATTCACCCTGACCTCATCCCCCAATCACCTAGAAACCAGATAGTGAGTAGAAAGTGAAAAGAGAATAAAACTAGAGGTCATTACAGGACTATTTCAGCTAACAGTGGACTGTGAGTCTACTTCCATAAGACAATAGCAATATTTTAGAATAGAAACACTAGGAACATGCTAAATTAACAGAGGGAAAATAAATAAAAAACACTGTAGTCAACATGTGAATCAGCAGCTTCTTGCTTTTTTCAGACATGCAGGCATGCATCAGACAATAGCATGTGTCTGAATCCTTTCTCGAGATTCTGACCTAAGTTCACTTTCACAAAGAACACTTTCTCTTTGCATTTGGGTCATTGGTTATAATATCAAAGGACAGAATACATTAAACTAAATACAAGTCTAGTTGATTGAAGGTAGTAGGATGCATGGTTAAAGTTCCAGATGGTAGATGGGAGGAGGACTTGGCTGCTCGTCAGCTGTTGAGTTGTGGTATTCCTAACCCTGAACACATTGCTGCGTCAAATATGCAAATACAACTCGATTCTCCAGTTTGAGGCCTTTGTTATCAGGGCTAGACCATAGAATTGTGAGCTTTGTGCCGTGGAGTTATACTGAGTTCAGAATATGAACTTACCCTCACAAATGTTTCCCAGACTAACTTAATCATCCTGATGAACTTCTTTGCTTTATGATTTTTCAACTCTCTGATTTAAGAAAATGTCAATTTTTGGTGGAGCTGATTCCCAGGATAAACGTAAAAACCTCAAAATCAGAGTTTTGTTAAATACTTCACCTGTTAATCTAAATAAGTTGTATGTCTGGTTTCAGCTGAGCAGCATTTTGTCTAAACATAAATTGGCCAAACGTTGAGGGAAGCTATCTTTTAATTTGTATTCCTTGGGATCTGTAAGTCTAGCGACAAAGTAATTTAGTAAAGTAATAAAACTGATGAATGGAAACTAAGATCTCCTCAGAAGGTTAAGCAGCAAACAGAGCATATGGTTTCATTTTTGCTTACCCTGCGTTCTCTCTGCCTTAAGCATCTATATTCCAGTGATTCCAGTAGAATATTGATTTCTGTCTGCCTCCCTCAATTATTAATGCATGTCACATCTGCAGCATCTGCAAAACAATTGCAGTGCACAGGCACAAAGAGCCTAGTCTAATCCATCATAATTATGAGCAAGTCTCCTGCAGATGTTGAAGGAATGGGCAGCTGATGAGCACCAAGAGGGGCCCAGAATCAGTTTTAAGTGTTTAAGTAAAAGAGTGTTGAACATTAGAGCTTGAAGGAGAACTGATTGTACTGTAGATTCGTGGTTGGCTGGGGATGGAGGGAGTTCAGTCCTTGTACAGTATATATCACAAAACTTCCGTTTGTCCTCAATGTCACGGTTAAACTTGCATCAAAGAAACCTGGTTTTGACTTTCTTTTACTAGCTTTAAAAAAGAGACGTGCACTCATACAGATTTTCTTTTTAGCCGGCGGTGAGCAATATCAAACACACAGCCACCTTTTTTAAACGAGTCATGCTTGTCCTTGTGTATTATGTTCCTACATATATCGAAGGCGAGACAAAATACATTTTCCTGACTTTAATTGGTGTCCTGAGGTTTTGTCCGCCTGCGCACAAGCATTCTACAGCCACAATCCCCCTCAACTATGAATACTCGCAGGAATTGGGAACGTTTGGCGAGGTTTGAAAAGTATATGGTCCTTTTTGAACATAATATAATATGAAAACCAGTAGTCTGATTCCGATAGCTTCTATTTTATAGTCAACATATGTAATTAAATAGCCATTAACAGCCTTAACTTTCACTTTGCTGCCCATAGTTAAGCTCATCCAAGACATTTTTACAATGCAACACAGATAATAACAATATACTAATACATTTATAAAGCCTAAATTCATATAACTCATTTGTCAGGTTGAATAATATCAAATGATGTAGACAGGCGTTAGAGGTGTTAAATCCTTTTAAAGTTCCTTCTTTACATGTGGTGAAGCATTCTGTCATCCCTCAGATCATTTTTCACATCTCATGTCGATTGGTAAAAATGTAGCGGCAGCTTCAAATGTTTTCTTTGTAAACGTTTGGCACATCATGGTGTCCATTAAACAGCAGTGGACCAAAATGTGTTCATCAAGACAATTTAGGTTCTTGTAGGTTAAAAAGACTTCCTGCTTTATGTTCTTAGACATTTAGGTCACAGAAACACTCTGTATGTACTTAAAGTAAATAATGTCCTTGGAGCTTTGAAGCCTCGGGTCACAACTGCCGGCTGCTATGGTTAAGTTCAGAGAAATATGCTATGCAACCTTTGAAAACATAATTGGATCCAGCTTTAGATTCCCACAAAGGCCCTCCTGTTAATGCAAACATACTATAGGCTCACTATAGGCACTGACTGATGTTTGGGGGGGAAAAATAGCTAAATATTTGAGGTACTATGGCATGTTTCATTTGGCATGATCGTGCTCCATCATCGGGCACGATTATAACATCTGGAAGCGGTTACAGCTGCTTACGATTCTGGCAGAAGAGCTGTCGTCTTCAAACGACATGTTTTATCTTAAGCCTGATAACCTTTTTTGAAAAATGTTTGTATAGGTACAGTATCCATTTCAGCCACAACATGCATGGGCATTTCAAAAAGGATCTATTGATCATGTACATTGCTTTATTCAAGAATGATTATAAACAAATGTAACATTCAGTAATGATTTGCAATTCATGGAAACGACTAACATGAATTAGATTTGACTGTACAGATGGGTAGAAAATATATATTTGATAAGTTCAGCTACACATATGAAAGTATTCTATCTCTGGGGTGACTGTAGACCGGGCTAGTTTGCGAAAGTATCTTTAAGGGTCCTGAAATGAAGCACCTGCAGCATCAGATGACAATCATTTTAGAGGATAAGTTGATATTACAACAAAATATATATTTCAATTGCTTTTTTTAAAAAGTTGTGATTCAAGACCTTGAGATATACCGTGCACTTTCAGAATTAGTATTATCAGGTTCAGTTCCTCTGTTTCCTGAACCACAATGTCCAAACTGGTTACGTGAACCATGAATGAGGCAAAACAAAATGTCACTCTGTGGCAATTGTGGCCCAGTCGACCGTCTGGACCAAGACAACCTTCACAACAAACTGTCAGACCGAGCTCTGCTCAGGCAGGCGAGCTGGTCGAAATAATGATATCCTTCTCTGTGTCAATCACCCCTCCAGGACATTAGCAGCCCTCCAGACCCCCAAAGTTGGTGTGCTAAATCTCCCACTAACGAGCCAAGCTGTTACAAGGGTGTCTGGAAGCTCCCACGGTTGTCACAACAGAGCAAGCCAGCTGCCTGTTAGCAGGTAGAAAAGGGAAGCGGCACGCTGAAAACAAAGACGGCCCTCAAGTCAATGGCTGGGGACAATGGACCTGAAAGGTATCTTTTTATGTGTGTTGAGTTGAGACCGGACATCTTGCATCCCAAAGAAAAACGGCCCTGTTGTGAGCTTGCTAAAAAACACATTTTCTAAATTATCCAATAGGGTTTGTCAGGGTTTCGTAAACCAGAAAAATAGAGAAGTCTATAAAAATCAAGAAGTGCATGCGATTCAAAATAAAAGAGAAACTGCAAAATCAACTCGCTCTTTACATGCATTATCACTTGAATAGAACTCAGTCAGATGAATAGTTATAAGTATTACTACAGTATTGGAGTAGGTCTGATTTAAAAATGCCCCCAAACGCTCCCTTCTTTAAAGGCTGTAATTAGTTTTCTTAATGTTGTTCTCAGACTGTCATCTGAGAACTGGGCCAATGTAATTCAAATGTAAAGTAGCATAAGACAATGTAACACTAATTCCACTAACAGCAAACGGTATAACTCATTAGTTATATTCAGACCGCAGTGGAACCTGAAGAGGAAGAGTCTCGGGCAACAAGTTGCAGAGCTAATCTCCCTTTTTGCTGCTGTCAGACACAGACGGATGTAAAGAGCCACAGCGGGACCTCACCACCAGCATCGTAATCAGAAGTGACGCTGAGCCTCTTTATGATTACGTCAAAAGTTATTAAAATCAAAATGTGTTATTTTGACAAACGAGTTTGAGAAGCCCACCACGTGGGAGTTGTGAAACGTACACGGCTCCGCTTAATGAATGGCAACATGGTCTTTCCATCGCGGAGGCATCTTCATTCATACGACATCACATTTGGATATTCTCTGCTGTGGCAGATCTGCTGATTTTATGATGTGCTGTTTGGGATATCTTTGGTTTTTTTGTGTTGCTTGTTTGCATTAAATGAAGAGGATGAAAAAACGTGGTGATTACGATTGGTCATACTCAACTATTGAGTATTGCTGAGTTGCAAGCTAATGTATGAGTCTTGAATACTATGTGGCAAATGACTTTACTTTGGAATGAACTTCATGATATTTTCCCCCTGTATTTGTAATTCTGATTTCAATTTTAACTAAAAATACAGCTGCTTGGAGTTATGTACAATATATTATCAACATCTACAGAAAATAACAAAATTCACAATTAAATTAGGAAATTAAAACCTCTCAATTAGCAGTAGACTCAACACTCATTGGGGGAACATCAATTTAAGTCAGTGTCTTTTGAGGAAAAAGGAGCTAAAAGGAGTAACCTAATGCTCCCACCTCTCCGAACGCTTTCAGATATAAAGCATCTGATCCCGGCAAAAGTAACAATGAGGTAAGCGGGTGAATACCACTTCCCGAGCCCATGTGACTACTCCTTTGTTTTGTCTGGCCCTCGGTGCAGTCTGCCAATCAGTAACTAAGTCAAGAGGTGAACACGGGCGCTTAGCTGCTTTCAGAGCAGCTCCATTCCTGAGGGACACTCCGGGATTTACAAAGGACCGAACGGAGCCAAGCAGCTTGTCACAGTTGGATACACCCACACCGACAACAAAAAAAAATCTTTGCAAACCCAGAACAAAGCAAGAGATCCCAGCTGAGTGTGTGCTGCCTGTCAACGTACGAACATATAAACACACACATACACCAATTACACAATGTTGAAAGTCCAACTTTGACTGCTTGCTTTAAGATATTTGGAGTATTGGCTGCATCCTCTTTATTATTCACAAGACGGGATTCACAAGGAGATCTATTTTTGCTCCGGAAGTAGAGCACTAATCTAAACCAGAGGCAGTGCCTCTCAGTGGCTTTCGTGTGGATGCCTGCTGGAGGTTATAATGCTTTGATCTATTCTGGTTGTCTTTCTAGTAGCTAATGTCCACCAGAATATCCGTTTTCTTTATGATATGACTCAGCTTGCATGACTTGAACTGGATTCCCAACAAAGCTTTCTTTCCCTCCAAAAGTTAATTTCTTTGTCTCTATACGCTGTTGTTTGGCTTCTCCAACAGCCTCACCTCCAGTCCTCTGCCCTGTAATTACACTTCAGGTTCCTCTGTACTTCTGTCTGCTGTACTTCCCTCCTGTTCAGTCTATCGTCTGTGCAGTGATGAACGTGCATGGCCACTCGGCACTGCTCTAGTCATTGCCCATTGCCTCTGTAGCTATGTATTTGCTGGCATTTATAGATGGTGAGTTGCTTTAGTACTTTGAGGTCTAGGGGCAAGGGTGGACCTTTTGGACACAGTGTGACCAGTGTTGTAAAACAATGGGCACAGTTTGCACAAAAGTCATAAGGGGGGCAGTTCATGCACATAACAGTAGAGCCTTATTTTAACAATTAAGTTTGTTTTTAATATTGCTTTTCTTTACAAAATGCAACTTGTTTCTGTTTGTCCATCAAGTTGCTAAAAGATCATATTTTCAACAAAATTAGAATATATAAATTGAGCTACAAATCATATGTATTATGGATATTTAGTCCTATTTCCCGAAGCTTGGTCTTCACAACACTAGTTGTAGCAAACTTAAATGCACCGGACTCGCAGCGTGTTTTTGTTATTCCCAGAGGCAGCCAGTGAAATATGAGAGCTGCCATAGTAGATGGGGTCTATTTGGCGTGACTTGGCAGCCGTATGTGACATTCACCACTAACGACAGCTGCTGGGAAACTCAGGTCTCTGCACTTTCAGGTTGAGACCTAGGCAGCTAGGCCTAAAGAGTCCTGCTGTTGTAGAGCGAGAGAGAGAGCGGTGGTGTGTAAATCAAACACACTTGCCAAGCCACACCGCTGTTTTGCAGAATAGTCCCAAGAATAAGCCATAATCTCAAGTGTATATTTCCGTTTCTTTGCTGATTTGGGCCCATTCACATCTTCCTGTTTGATAGATAAGAAGGTGGAGCATGCATCCAGTCCCGAGACTATAAATTTTCAGAGCACGTTTTTGAAAAGATTAAACCCACATGACTCATGAACTGAGTCATAACAAAGTGTGCCAATGATCATATTCATAATATCACCTGACTACATATTACAACTGTAACCAACTGTAACTTAATGCTAATGCTGTAACTACAACAATTTAATATTGAACCAACTGAATTTGTTAACAGTTTACGATCAACTTGTATATATGAACTATATGAACTATTGCTTACTACTCTTAGCAACTTTGCTATTCATTTAGTCAGCGTACCCACAGTATTGCTACCTCTTTTAATAACCATAAGTAGAAACATTGCTTTCATTTAAAAACACAGCTGACAGTATTGATAGAGTACTGATAATACAAACTGAAATCCAGTCTTGATATTTGTTTCATATGACTCAGACTTTAATTGAGTTGCATTTGAAAGCATCAAAACTTACTGCTATTGGTGTGATGATTTTGAAAGTTCTTAGGCCTCTATTGTCACGTCATTTATACAGAAATATGTCATTCTAATACTTTAAACATTTAAACACTTCTTACTTAACCAAACATGAAGACAAATCATTAAATGGAGAAAAGAAAATGGAGATAAAACTAAGTCTTTTGTTTATAACATGCATGTTTGGTAATGGATATTCCATGTCAAAACGTAGAAACACTTTAATGGCTGTATATGCCGACAGACTTGAGTTCAGACTGCACCCAGCGGAGCTGCAAGTGAAACCTCATCTGTAGCGACTCCTACCAGCGTAATTAGGTCAGATGACTTGCATTCTACAGCGTTTTAAATCCCTCCCGTAAATATAGAGTCGGACCCACTGCTGCGCAAACCTCATGACCTCTGACAACATTTTCACAACTCCGCATTCCAGCTGGCTGCGTAAACAGCAAAGATGTAGGCTCGAAAACATTTCAGAATCTCTTAGTGATTAATATTTAATCTAGCTCTACATGCCTTTGACCTAATTATTATGGGTCCAGGTTTTGCTGACAATACACATCCTGAAACAGAACTGTTGACAAGAGGACTCTCAATACACATTTGCCTGATTTAAGGCAGTGTTTAATTATTCTTTAAGACCTCTGTGTCGACATTTTCAATGTCAGTTCATGACATATGGCTAGCATATGAACTGGGGGAGTTGCCTCCACTGGAGAGAGTTTTGGGTAAAGTGAAGGGGGAGGACTGGAAAAGTCTGGAAGGTCAGAACACACCAACTCATAAAGCACAATGTGAAGTGAAGCGCTAGTAGCATGTGTTGTCAATGACTGTTGTTACTATAGGACAGATGTTAATTCATGTTCTACATCTCACCGAGTCTCTCAGTCAAGGCAAGTCACACTTGGAATTTATGTCACATGGCGCGCTCATGCAGCGCGTACAATGCATCTCACATGGTTGCTCGTGCCTTCTCTCTCTCTCTTTTTTTCGTTCTATCAGTCTGAACATATGACACTCTCCACCCTGGCTAAGAAACAAAAGCCCCCTGTGTGTGCAGTCAGTTTTTTTCGATCCTCCAAATGTACATGCTAGCCAGATCATTTTCTTTTTGGAAGCTTAAATCTTGCTGCTATTCTGTCACGTGAGCAACCTTAGGGACAGGTGGGCTCTACACTCTGATCTACAGAGAGAAACAAATCTAAACAAATGAAACATGAAAGTGAAATCCTGAACAAAAAAACGACATGAAAGTAGAGCACACACACTGGCCAGAGCTGTGCTATCTCGACATTTCCTTATTTGTAAAATCAAAAGGAACACATCTTTTCCCTTAAAGGAATAGTTTGATTTTCTTGTGTGCTTACATGCTTGAGCGTTACACAAAATTGATAGCCCTCTCTTGCCTGAACCATAAATATAAAGCTACTCCAGGAAGTCACAGCTCTAGGCAAAGAATAGTTCAGCACATAACCCCCTGTAAAACCACAACCATTTGTGCACTTTGTTTTTTATTTGGATTAAACAAATATGAAATATTGTGTCTATTAGAGATTTGAAAAGACTCTGGGCTAACTTCTCCCCCCCTGTTTTCCAGTCTTTGTGCTCAGCTAAGCTGACTCGCGGCTGGCTTTAGCCTCATATTTACCGTACAGACATGAGAGTGTCAACAACTAAGCGAAAAGGCATATTTCCCAGAATGTTGAACTTTTCCTTGAACACTGGAAGACAATCTGAAATCTTAAGGCGCAGCATTATTTTAGATGGTTGTGCACCAGAAAGCTTTCCCTTGAGGTCGACCCATCCGTCTCATGTTTGGGGAATATACAGCTTCTGTTTTAGATTTAAGACGTGGCAATCTTTTGTATTGATCACTGAAGGGATGCAGACACATGTGAGGGTGATTACCAGGAATGCAAAAGCTTGAGGTTCTGAGTTAGTGATGTGACTCATGTTGCTTTTATTAATAACAATGCTGCACGAGGAGGAATCTGACTTAGCACTGTTCAACCTCATCTAGTTGTTCTGTCAGGTAGAGCAGTGCTGTTTCCTGTTGATGCTCACTGTGGCCTAATCACTAAATTGTGACGTAAAGATGGCTGCATCACATGACAGCCTGAAGCAACAGATCTCTGCTTTCCTTCCCTCTTCTCTGCTTCCCTTTCCCTTCATGGTTGACCGAAAACGGTGAAGCTCTGCAGGTACAATCAGCTTGCAGAGAAATGGAATGCCAAAGATCAAATCATTTTTTGTTTCAATTTCATACACAATGAAAATCTCCTTAAATCTCAATGGGACGCAATGTAGCGGTTACATTTAAATGTTCTAGCAGTCCATCTTTTCCAAAGTGTTTGGGGTTTGATTGCACTTTTTTCCCTAGAGAGCCTCCTCCCCCTCCTTAGGAAGAAGGATCTGTACAAACTGCATTGTTCTTTATGTCTAATGCAAGACAGATGTGGCCGACTTGTGGACATTCCCACTGCAGTCTCTGTTCTTCAACAGTTTTATGTCTCATTACCTTCTCTTACTGAAGTGTGACACATTTCATCGAACTATAGCATTATTTGATTAAGTTGATGTGCACTTCTTAGCATTATTTTATTCAATTAATTTGTTTTCCATTAATACTGGAGGACCCAAGAAAGCAAAAATGCCTTATTGATATCAGTTTGAGGGGATATGGATTAAATGTGATTTGTGAAATGATTATAATTTCTATGGTTATAAAGTGTACAACAGGCTGTTGTGGAAATCTAAAGCCTCCATTCAAGAGTACAATTTGTATTATGTTGTGAGTGTGCACACGATCTTGAGAGGAATGTAAATCCATTCGTAAATTCATCTTTCTGCTGAGGACAGCAGAATCTACAAATATTTAATATTTGAGAATTCTGACTTTGGATCAGCCGCTACTCCGTCAATCTGTCAGAGCTACTATGGAGCCCACACTGTCACTAACTGCACTCCCTGAATAAATGTCATCTAATCTTTGGAAAAACTTTAAAAAAAAAAGGAAAAGGTCATTTCAGAATGAAGCAGACAGAGGGGTCTTGAATATGTGTTTGAAATGCAGAAATATATACATATATAGAGTATATCCAGGCTGTCAAACTGATTGAGCAGTGAAAACAGGTTAGAAAGATTAAGGTTAAGCTAAAGCCTACTAATCCCGGGGAAAAGTGAACCAACACATCACCTGGTGATCGAGACAGAAGACACTGAAATTAGGGAACAACACCGTTCCTGTAAGGCCGGATACGCATTTACTTACTGTTAAAATCATTAAAAAGCAAAAGCAGCATGTAAACATTCGGTGTACCTTCGTTAGCTAGCGTAGCTAGTTAATACTCGTTAATGCTACATACTCTGCTACATACTCTGCTAATGCTCCACAGGTTTCTACGTACAAACGTAACGTTTTAAAAAACGTATAACCCCTTCCTATAACTCTCGAGGTAACAAATATCACTCTCATTATTTTAACGTTTTACCATGACTCTCTTGAAATCCACAAAATCAGCCTGAAAATATGAAATGATTAAACGAGAGTCTACGGAGCAGAGCCGGTTAGTTGTCGGACCCTGGCTGGTCAGAGCTGGCCGAAGGGTCAATTGGTGAATCATCATACCTATATGCTGACTGCTGGAACTCTAGGGTTGAAGTGTGGGCTGTTTACCTTTTCCTCTGAAGACTATATAACTTCTTCAAGACTAAACTAAAACGAACTTACGAACCTAAAATGATGCAGTTTGAGAGTAAAGCTGAAATAGTCGAATAGAAGCAAAGACAGAACTGGAGTCATACATTGTTTATCAGGACAGTCATAACAAGTGCAGTTCTTAACTGGTAGAGCTCCCTCAAGGTAAAAAGATAAACAGAGAGAGGGGAAAGATGAACTGGCACCATGATAATAAGCTATAACCAAGTGCTCATAGCCATAATTAAGATCAATGTCAACACTAATCCCAGATCGTTTGATAGTGTTGTACAGGGTTCAGTGGGCTCGGGAAGCAGTGGACATGACAAATTAAATATATTTACTCGTAAAGACCCACAAGGTCTGAGGAATATAGGAGCCAGTGATTTGTGGCAACCTTTCAACGACCGGTTTTGTTGAGTCTATTTTTCAGGGGCGAGGCTGAACTGGCTGAACTGTTGACAGTTTTAACTAGGCACGGTCCATAAAGTGGATCCAAAGCCCTTATACACTAATGGACAAATCCCTCAGATTCTTGGGATTCTTTCAAATTGAGAAGGCAGTTCAAGGCGTTGATACAAATTGATACATACATTTTTGGTATATTATGAATATGATTGAGTTTGAGGATATCACATGTTTTAGTGGCTTGTGGTGTTGAGCAATACCGGATGAGTTGGTGATTATGAAGGAGGCTTGAGCCTCATGTTGATGGTAAAGGTGACAGAAACGTTTCTGAACGTGACATTGGGGTGAGCAACTCAACCGCCGTTGTTGTTGTTGTAAGGGATAAACCCCGCCTCTGTACGTTTCTGATACAACTTGTTCAGCAGGTTTTCTTGGAAAACTGCAAACACTCGCAGGAAAAAACAAATCAAGCTAGTATATGTTTACACTTTATCTACTTAAATCAGTTTGATCTGCTGAAATTGCTCTTCTTCTGAACATTTTTCTATATTTATTTAACTCATTTTTATATTATAACACAAGAAAATGATAATTTGGCTAACACTGAAACCATCACAAACAACTGGTAATAACAGGCCACAGTGTCACAGATCATATCTATAAACCATCAGTGTTTCCTCCAAAGTCCTTTCAGTGCAACGGTGCCTTTTTGTCAGAGCCAACCATAGACCGTTTAACAGAGAAGTGAATCCTGATAGTACACATCAGTTAGACATTAGGTCTGACTTCATAAACCTGTTAGTCTTCATTCTCTCTGTTTAATCAGCCCGGCCTGAGAAAGAACCCTGGCAAAACCAAGTGCATTGTGCAAAGCTCACACGCAGAGTCTAAACCTTCTTCTGTGGCTTTAAGCTGCATCACACGGAGACTCTAATTAAGAAGTGGGCTTTTGAGCGTACAATCCCACTAACCTGCACCCCCCCCAGCCCCCAGCCCCTCACAATGCCACTCCTTCCAACCAGCCGGTATCTTCTCCCCTCTAACCCTTTGTCTATGCAACAGTCAATATTATCTGACTAACTTGATGAACTGTGCACAGAGCAAAGTTAATTTCTCTCAGAGTGTGCGGTAGCCATGGCGACCATCTTACGAGCGCTCCAGAGCCCATCTGGTCTAAACATTACCCCGGCACGGCTCACTGCAGAATGGGCTGCTTTGCCGCGGTTGTGCACATGTGCTTTTTGCATTGAACCTGCCAGTAAATCAATAGTGCCACATATTCAGAAGCCTGCATTTGCACTTGTTCCATTGCTTTAAAACCTGAAACATTGTTAGCCGACATTTAAGAACAAGATAGTCTTTGTGTTATCTTGAGCTACGAGCATTTGTTTTTAGAGACTCACCACGAAAGATGTTGTAGTTGCTCTTCGTTAAAATGGTAGGACAAGGAACACTTCATATTGACCTTTTCCTCCTCATACATTCTCCCATCCATTGCAACCGGGCGTGAAATGGAAAACTCATACACAAAAACCAAGCAATGAGCAAACACTAGGTCCCATCTTCAATTCACTCTCTAGCCTGCCAGTCTTGGCATGTGATTAGCTCACAGGCACATATATTTAGCAAATATTTCCTCTCTGTTTGCATGATCCAAATCCAAACCAGCTTCCAATTAAACAGGAAGCGGAGGTGAACAGTAAACAAAGCAAAAGGGAAACATTATTATAGGAAGGAAGTTAAAACATGCACATGGCAGTGGAGGAATTCCAAATGGACTCAATACGAGGGCAGATTTCAGATTTTTGGAAGACTGAGCTTTAAATAGTTGTTTGTTTTGAACAAAAACTCTTTCTCCTTGTATTTATCAAACGGGAAGTGACGTCTTGGGCTTATGGCTAAGCTCAATTGAGGGGCTTTTGCTCTATGGTTCTCTATCGGGTGTACCAAAAAACATTTACACACAGTAGAGATTACTTCTACTATGTTTTTACACCACGTTTTTATTCTATTTTATGTACTTTTTACTTTGTACTTTTTATAATAATACAACTCTCTGTTTGATTACTATTTTATGTGCTCTATATTTTCTTTTCATCATATTATAACCCTTTTAGCTTTTATTTATGTAAAGCATGCCAAATTGCACCTGTGTATGAAATGTGCTATAGAAATAAACTTGCTATTGCTAAACGTGAAATATGTTGTTGTCATGCACAGAACAACTTTGAACAAAAAAATGATTTGCTCGGTCTCATTCGTCATCTGGAAAGCAAATGTAGAGATATTCTTTCCCCTGTGGGTTTTTAAGCAGCCAGACCTCAACCACTGTTGCTAAGCTCCCTCTTTCCCTCCACTGAGTAGGAGGCACGTGACTCTCATTGAATAGAAATCACAAATCCTTCTGAGAGAGAGAGAGAGAGGGGTATTTTCTGTGAATCATGGCTTCAGTGTAAGAATGTAGTAACACTTTACTGCATTTCTGACAACTCAGAAGGAAGTACAGAGATTATAAACAATAATTAACGAGCTCTTAAACATAGTCTGTGTGTTGTTTTAGCGTTCACTTAAAGGCAAAATATGTGTGAGCTTCAGGAGTCATCAATCATGTTCTGCCATGCAGTTTAGTGGTTTCCTGCCTGTGTTTGTGCCTCCCACATCGGGAAGACTCTTATTTGGGAAGTTTCTATCCATTCAGACCCAAAGCTAAAATCAGTCTTTGAAACGTTCCCAATATAAATACATATATGGATGCAAGCCGGTCTGATCGTCATTGAGCACCAGCTGCTGCACTCGTACATTCCACTTAGGAAACCTAATATTGAGCGTGAGCCAGTTGAAGCCCTCAAAAGTAGGTAGTGATGTCATTCAGAGCCTTTAGGAGGGTTACGCTCCTAAATGACATTCAGGACCAGCTGTCTGTCTTTGTACTCCTTGCTCAGACAACAGGGGGCCACAGGGCCTAACCTTTTCAATGACAGCTCCGAGCAGTGAAACCGTACATATCTGACAGCCATTTTAGAAGAGGGGTTAACAGCCATCAGAAGCAGTTGTTTAGATCGCCATTGGAACCCCTCGGAGATGCGCTATGATGACGGCGTTTCGACCGAGACAGGGGCATTTGTTATTAATTGTTTTCAGATATTGTTCTGCCAATTTTAACAGAGGATGCATTGTGACAAACTATACACGAAAAGAGTTCCCTCTTTTGGTCTTTGTTTCTGATGAACCTTTCAGGATTAGACGTGTGACAAAGCCTCCTCATTGTCACAGATTTGACCGCTATACATTCTGACACAAGAGTCCCATTAAGGGTAAGATCCTAGCATGACGTTAGGTGCCTTTTCAAGATCTGTAAAGCATGTTGACTGCATGTGTGCAGGTTTACTTCTGCACAAATAGCTACGCCTAATGTTTGAAAAGCCACATCTTGGCTGGCAAAGAGGCACGTCTCATTCTCCGATACAGAAACACCAACGTTTTTTTCTGCATATTTTCATGTTGACTTACAAATAACAATAAATCATTTATATTAAACTGTGCAGTGCAATGAAAAGCACCACTGTGGACTCAAATGTGCCTTTACATCTGTGCACATGCTGGTTTTTCACCCATGAAACCTTTGGCAAATATTGCCATTTTGTTTAAATGACCCAAAGCTGCAATCGTAAAGGAAGTTTGACAGAAAAGTTTACAGCCAGTTTTTTTTCCTGACCTGTCAATATTTAGGCCTTCGCCTGCGCAGGAGCAATGCGCCGTCAGACCATCATCAACATAAGAAAAGGCCTGCTCTCCGTCTTGCTGTTCTCGAGCACATACGCTGTTGTGACTGGAGCTCTTGATTTCCTTTCATTATTCTCAACTTCTTGTAGCGGGACCGGCGATAGCAGCATTCAAGAATATTGTCCAACCGTCGGAGAGGCGGGAAGGGATGCTATTCGCTTTGGAGCGATTACGTAAGATCTCACTTGTGTCTCTCCGTGCGGAATGCCGGGATAGTGTTTGTAAACAGAGCGGCCATGTGCGTGGGCTCACGTGGAGGAAGCTTTTGAGTCACTGCCCTCGCTGTCTCACCCCTGAGGTAAACCCTGACATCGATACACGCTGACAGCGCCAGCAACACTCCCTATGGCCCTGTGCCACTCAAACAGAGCCTTATCACTCACACTCCATAATTACGCCCCAGCCCGGCTAACGCTGCGCGGCCTCGTGGAAAAAGAAGGCCACGAGTCCTATTTGGGATTCACAATGTATCAGGTGTGGCAATTACTGATAACATGTTTATATCAGGCTCGTAAAAACACGATTACTATTGCACAATTCCAGTGATGACCAATAAACCAGTCGCAGGCCATGATCACATTCAAGGCTCTTGAGCGAAGTTGGGCCTTCATAGGACGGAAAGCCACGATTCTTGGCGGGGGTTGGGATGGATCTGGTGTTATGATCTGCTATTGAAAACTGACATATTGTTTTGTGATTTGGCTTCAGTTCATTCTTTTGATTCATTTTCAGAGAAGATGGGCACATCACTCTCCAACCTATGATGTGTTTCGCAGTAAGTCCAGACATAGAGAAGTGAGTCAGGGTAGACATTTCATTACATTCAGCAGGCTTCAGAACTGATCAATAAGTATGGGTAAACTTCCAATAAATACCAAAACTCAAACAATTCATCCTAAATAACGTGGCATATGGCATGCAGTTCAACTTTCTCTATCAAAACGCCACATGGATGTATGAGCTTATTCAACCTCATCTTAATCGTCCTACTTTGCTTTCATCAATAAGAAAATTCTCACAACTGTGCATATTGGGTGACTAATTCTGTTTAGAACCGTGTGTAAATGAGCGACTACGGCACTGAGATTCCAGCACTTGATTGCCGGTTGTTGCTTCTCTCTTGCTCTCAATAGAAAAACAACCCCCAATAGCAGACAAGAGGGAAATCAATACTGCAGAAATCAATACAACACTCAGTATCTCGCCATTTTGTTGAAAAGCAGTCCAAGCTATATGACTAGCATGCAGGTAGTGCAATATAAAATGTCTAACCTGCCACTGGGCTTGCTTCTCTGTGTCATTTGTGCAACAGCCCCTGGGTGGAAATGCGATGCGTGGGCTGGACAGAGCAGGGTCAGAGGTGAGGGCTTGGGTAAGGGCTGGGGTATTGTAAGTGGACAGCATTGTTTTGGAACGCTATGGCAACTGGACATTCTTCCCAAAGGTGATATTGTCTCTGCCCTGGGAGTGACATAAAGGGGACTTACGGCCATGACGAAGGAGCAATCCCACCACACTGCTTTATCTGTAGGTGCGGATAGATGAGAGAAGCTATGTGCATGTGATTGATCTATCGGGCCCTTCCCCCACCCAGCCCCCCTATAAGCCCATTAATGTTCTGCTGCCTTTTCAGCTGCTGATGTAACAGCAGCCATGCAGAAGCTCGTGGAAACACCTCCAGTAAGATTTTGGGCTTTTATTTCTCAATTTTAGAATGTGTCATTGTTATGTAGGTCAGGATTAGCATTTGTAAACCCTGTGTACACAAAGGGGAACACAAATTGTACAACCACACCGTGACAACCATTAATAATGTGCTTTCAGTGGCAAGCAATGAACTGGGTTAGATGCAATCCATCCAAACTATGAATTTGATAATTGTGGAATGTGATGTTTAACAACAAGCTATCACAAATAAACCAGTCGATACACAAGATACAGAACTGTCTTGTTGTTGGCTAATTCCAGCTGTACCTTTTTATTTTTTATTCTACTTGTTAGCTAAATAAAAACAATCAAAAAATACTAGTTTTTCACATGAGACATTACACAGTGTCTTCACATAATGAATGGTCAATGGGATCAACAGACACACACACAAAAGCATGAATCACCTGATCTCGTGTAGTAACAACATACTTTATGAGTACTATGGAGAACGCGTGTGCTTCAGCACTCGCGTTGACTCTACACTGTCAGTGACCATGCTTCTCATATCAAAACACAGCCATGCCATTGCGTCAGAGGGGTACACCGCCATTGTTGGTTTGCAAGTTTCCTGACTGCTCACTTAGAAAATAAAAGAGGGGATTCTCTTCCACTACAAACAGATCATTTTCAGTAGAGAGTAAGAGAGTGTGTACTGTGGTGTAGGGGCTGCATAGCTATCCACAGAAATGCAGCATGTAAACAAACGTTTTAAAACAAATGCTTAATTCAGAGGGGGAAAAGGAATGTTAGGCTGTGATGGAATAATGTTCTCCATTGTTTGTCATCATCAGCTGTTTACATTAAGTCATTTGACAAGCAACTGACCTTATTTGGACTTCACTGCCTCTTCACCTTCTCTAATGCCCCTTGTATGCACATAATTCACTAAATGTCACTGTTAACAGTCTTAACTTGGGGCTTTAAGTTCAGTAAAAAAGAAAACTGAATCCCTGCATTTCTCCTGCAGGTTAAATTACAATGCCCAATTTAGGGTCAGTCATTATTCTCCTCCTTGCGGGCATGCCTTTACTCTGCTTTTTACCTGAGGCCATGCTGTGGTTATATTACGACTGTAGTTAGTAGAATACACAAGCCCAATACACAAACCTGAGTGAGATCAGTTATAATCTAATGGGCCATTCAGATGTTAATCTAGTAGTAGCACTTAGTGAATTCAGGGTAAAAACAACAACTAACAACCCATTAGCTATTTGCTAATTGAGATAAGACCTGATGTCCTGTAAAACATGGGAATGTATATGTCATATCATGGAATATGTTGCAGAATGATTTAAAACTCAAAGAACTGACACCACTTACTGCTTTTAAATCTAAAATGAAAGAAATAGAGGCAGGTTCCCAAAAATGTCAGTTTTTTAAATGAACTCCGTTACGTCACTGTCTCTTAACTTTTACTTTCTTTTAACTTGTCTTGTTTTGTGTTTTTCTGTCTGTAACTATGTGTTTCTTGTGTTGCTGCCTGTCTTGGCCAGGTCTCCCTTGAAAAAGAGATTTTTAATCTCAATGGGACTCACCTGGTTAAATAAAGGTTTAAATAAATAAAAATATGTTGTATTTATAACTAGTGTATTTCTAAACAAATTGCATACTAACACAAAACCAAACTGTCCCGGTATGAAGGCGTTTACCTCACTGTTATCACTCCATTATTGTAGTTTACTTCTCTGCTGTCACCATGCTGTTATTCTACACCAATTGCTTTCAAAATGATTACAGATCACACGCAGCCACGTGTAGAAAAACACAGACACACATTCCTCTTTGCATTCTCGATAATCTATTTGTCAATAGCTCTGTTTCCAAAAGAACACATGAAGTCTGATTGTTGTGACCTTTAACTGCTCGTGCCCCATTAAAAACATATAATCCTGTCACGTATATCGCTTTGGTTTAGTTTGTCAAAGAAGTTGACTAAACTTCTTCGAGAAACTAAACCAAACCGATAGGATGTTTGTTCTTCTGGCAACAAACGCCATTGCCATTCTGGTGCCCCCTGTTAATGGTGCAGTAGGATAGAGTTTCATTTCCTTCAGAGCTTTCTGACCTTGTCTGCCTTCACTACGCTATGCCACCACAATTCTATTCTATTTTGCTTCTGCTTGGGATTTGCCTTTGTGTCTGCTTGTCTTTCAGTGGTGAAAAGCAATGAAAGCTGATTAACAGAGATACACAAAGCCAGCAGCTATTCCAGCTCTACTGCTGTGCACACATTATGCACTTAGTGCTGAACACGTCCAGGTCGGACTTTTACTCTCCTACATCTAGTCTCCCTACTGAACAGCACAAACACACACATACACAGCCATGGATGTGAAAATGTGAAGCTACAGGGGATATCACTGCCTGCATCTAACCTATTTAATGAAAAACACGAGCAATCTGTAATAGCTAATAATTACACATAAACGTTGAAAAATGGGTTTCACCTCTTAAAACAAATTCACTCACACAAAAAACAAACACATTACACACTCAAACTCGCTTTTATAAATATGTGCCAGCTAACAAAAAAAAAAAGCAAGGTTGAAATGTTGAGGAAAGACAGAGAGCATTATAGAGGCATTTAAATTAAGCTTGAAGAAAAACTCCTGGACAAACAGTCTAAGTACACCATTTTCTATGATGCATTCAAACGCAGCAAGAATGTGGACGTAACACAGAACACACGGGGAAACACAGAATGTGCCTTTTCAGATTGAGCTGGCAAAAAAAAAAAAAAAAAGAAAGAAAATCGTCAGCCATGTTGGAGTAGCTTTATCTAATATCCCCTCCTTATTATGTTGAGTCTTGCTCTTACGGTGGGGGACATTTGCTGTACCTCGCCTCATACAAAACCTCCCATAATACACCAGTGTTAAAGGGGAAGACTGTAAGCAGAGTATTAACACAGTAAGCAAATCCTCACCTCCTTTTTACGTCCCCTCCACTTTGTAGAAATTCCAACAAACCGTCTGGATCTCCTCTTTAACAAATCCTAAAGGGCAGCCATCTTGCCTCCTTCTGTTCTTCTATGAAACAGACTATCCTCCACATCAATATTCATGGAAACCAGTCTGACGTCGGCTCTCATCATCAGGAGCCCGGGTGTCGCTGTTTTACCGGCCTGAGAAGCACATTCATATGTGGCTCTGGTGTAAGGCAGCAGAGGTGCAGAGTAGAAAAAGATGTTGCCGGTCAGTGGGGGGGGGGGGGGGGCTTACTTTGCTGGCAAACTCAAATAATCACAAAATCACTTTCCTGCCGAGTCCTTCCCACACAAAGAGACGGGTTTTCTTTCCCTCCTCTGCTCCCTCCTCTTTTTTCTTCTTCCCTCAGCCGCACACAATAGTGAACACTATGATGGCTGCCCTGAAGCACTGGAGTGGATTCAGTGAGCAGGACAGGACTATACACCCAGTGCACTTTATGTTGAATATTGCACTGGCCTCAACTGTCTGACTGAAGCCTCCACCCCCTTCCTTTCCTCAGACAGGAAGCCAAGTGACTCAGGGTTTTTCCCTCCCTTTTTGCCCTGACTATCTTGACTTCCTTCTTTCATTTTCTTTCTTTCTCTGTCATTGGTTACAGAAGTTCCCCCGTTGTGTAATAGCCCTCATTTTGGAGAGTCTTACAGCAACAATCAGAGGTTGCCAGTTTGGAGTCCAACCAGTTGAGCAATTCACTTATTTCCAACGGCTGTGTCTTATTTTGGCACACCTCAGCCGGCTGGCTGGCTCATTTTTAGAGCGCAAGACAACTCTCCAGCCTGCATACAGGCACCATACTTTGCTTCATGTGTCTGCCAAGACTCACCTCCTGTTGACACTGGCCACGTGGGCTTAAAAGAGATAGAGAGAGCAGTGTACGAGAGGAAGGGACTTTAAAAGAGCGATTTAAAAGGCAAACTCAGCACCGGAAGGTTGTTGGAATGACACGAGTAGAAACGCACAAAACATTCTTGCTGTGGTTTTTGTTGTGGACTTCTGTGTAATGTCCTCATGCAGAGCTGTAAGTCGGAGATTTAGTTTTTGCATCTTTGATATCAAAGGTCAAAAAGCAAATCTCACAAACAGGTCCAGTGATGTCTGCAATACAATTTGGGAATGTAAGTTTTAACAAAAAAAATAAAAAAATAAAAAAAAAATAAAATATATATATATA